GCTGGGCAATTTGCAACCACAGAATTCAGGTCACTTAAAAAGTCACAATCCTTGGGATCCAAGCAATGCCAAGAAAAGGATCCTCAAACTATGCTAGAAGTATCACATATATAGATATTGCCCATGTGCTTCAAGAACTGAAAGAATGTTTGTATGAACTTCTCCATTCTCCCTATCTACCTTTTGTCTCTTGATGTGAGCTGGAGAACACAGAAGAAGCATATTTGTTTATAAGAAAGAGGAGTAAAAGGAAATGGGTGATAATGCAAAATCTCTGCAGGAAGGGTTCTCAAGATTAACAGCTGAAATAGAAGCAAGAGATCCTCTGTGATTTTGGCCTCCAGTGATAAACTGGAGTAAGACTGACAATCAAAGTAATTGAGACAACTGCCTCATTACAAGGCAAGGTAAAACAACAAACAGGTTTATGTCTTTCAGAGGCAGATAACTTATTGACAAATTAAGGGAGCATTATCAGGATATAAGACCACAGTTATCCTGGTTTGAGAGGACCAGGACAGAAATTCCCTATAGCCATAATGACCTGAGACCTCCTGGGCCCCACCAGCACCTGGGGCTGTGTCCGTGACAATGGGCAGGGGCAGCTGTGCCTGTGGGGAGGAAAAGGTGGGTGAGGTGACCCACTTGGACCAATCATACCACTCCTGCCCATGGGCTCAGTATAAAATGGCTCCTCAGAGAAGCCTCCTCTGGTTGGGGTGCTGGGCTAGGTTTGACTGTCATCTCTCCCTGTGCTGCTCCTCTATTCTGTTTTCTCACCAGGAAAGACCATTGCTCGTCAAGACAGGTCAACTTTTCCTGCCTTCCCCAATAGGACTGGCTTGGCTGCTCCAAGGCTTTTGTGTACTGTCACTGGGACCCAGGGTTCAGGCAATTCCATTTGCTGCCAAGCCCAATTTGGGACTTTTCTGGTTGGGAAGTAATTACCAACTGAGCAGCATACATTTTTGTATATGCTTGTAATTGACCATCGTAATTATTAGTACTACTTCATTAAACCTAATCTAGATGGTTTTTTTTCAACCTTAAAGTCTCTCTCCCCTACTCTCCTTTTTACCTTCCCCTGGGAGGATAGTGGGGATAACAAAGAGCATCTGTCACCTGGTTATTGGCTAAAACCATGACAATAGTACAAAGAGATAGGAGACAGTGATCCAGCTAAAGAAAAAGTTGATCAGCCCAAAAAACCAGAAGTTTGGTGGCAGCTGAAGAGATGCAACTAGAGTTCCTGTTGACTAAACAATATGGGGATGAAGTCTTCTCCCTGTAACGTGAACAAGGAGGCAATATCTACCCCCAAATGTGTTTAGGTGGAAGGACAACTGGAGGAAATTAAGATAGATATGCAAATTGTGCTAGATTTAAAAAAATAAAGATCTGTCAAACTCATACAGTCTTTCTGGGAGATGGAAAAATGGGAAAGAGCATTGCTTTCTCTTGCTGCTATAAGTAAAACCACCTGAGTTACTACACAGGCTTTTCTAAAGACTCCACTGATTTGTTTCTGCTTATTTTAAATAGAGATGACAATCAGTTACTTATGGTCTAGTGACTTGTAATTAAATTTCAGCATAGAAAAAAAGAATCACATTCTAGACTCAGTGGGATTTTAAAACAATGAAATAAGTTTAAGACAGTATTGAACCATTTTGTCACTTTTTTAAAATGTTAGTAAAATGCATAGTTAAAACAGTACTTAGAAGGATAGTTTTGCCTGATATTCCTTTAGAGGGAAAATTATTATTCAGCAGATGAATAGACACGGAGGTCAAGCACGTGGAGGTGACTACTATGTCTTAGTGATTCCTCCTCTGGGCCTTCCACCCACACTTGTAGTCCTGTGTCTTCAGTCTCCAACATGAACCTGCCCAACAATTACTAGACCTGAACCTGACCTGTGTATTGACTTCCCAGCTTGCCCTTGGATCTGCCTCAGTGTCATGGATTTACTTGCCTGGTGGTCTGCACTCTTGGCTGAGCCTGCCTCAATCTCTGGGCCTGTCGTCCTCCCTTGCAATGGGGCCAGACTCTGCATGGCCACCACATTTTCTCCCTTTCTGCTGCCAGTGGTTCCCATCCCTCATGTCTCCTTGACACCATATTAGTTATTTCCTGAAGTTTTTCCTGTTCTTGCACTGTCCGCACACAAAGAGAAGAAAGAAATCCTGCACAAAGATGAAAAAGGAAGGATGGAGCTCTAATAATTTCAGAGACTCAAGACTCAACATTCTCTATTAAAATCACCTGGATTCAAGGAAGTTTTAACTGAATCCTTCATTACCTGAGTGCTTTAATGAATCTCACTACGCTGAGTTTGCAGTCTGACACAGAAGGAAGTTGCTTACCTTTCAAGAGGAACAGAAAGACTTTGAACTCAGGCACAGCATTCTAGCAAACCTTAGAAAGCTGAAGTTTCAACACTTCTTAGGTAACCAGCTTGGACTGATAAAGAGCTAGAATGTTTTTCTAACTGCTGGGTCTTCAAGGTCGCACCTTCACTCTGCCAGCTCAGACACTACTGGGAGATCTATGACCCCTTTTAGGAGGCTGAATTAGACAGACAGCAAAATTGGCCAGAGATATTCCATTCCATACGCTCAGAGGAAGGTCAGAGACCACAGAAGACAACTTCCTTCCTGCTTCTTCTCCCCTTCTCTTCCGCCTGTGGCCGGCGTCTGGGGAGGACTCCATCCATCCATCCCCATCGACCCCCAGGCTCGAGTTCTCCTGACCCTCATCACTCTCCGCTTTCTCCAGCAATTCTGGCATTTTTCGTGACTGTTTGCAGCTAAGGAGAGTGTGGGGGGAGTTGCTGAGAGTGGAGGGAGGCAAGAGGCTTTTGGACATTCCTGAACACAGTGACACCGGGACAGACATGAAATACATCCCTCTACCCCAAAGGAAGACCAAGAATCCTTATATTGTGTCTGTTTAGTCACCTCTTAACAAACCCTCGACAATGAAGGTTCAAAAACCTACTCTGTCTATTCCACTCTTGCCCACTTTTAATCTTTCTCATAAAACATGGTTCTAGATTCCTTAAAGTTTTTATAAAATTCTCTGATGTATTTCCTTCTCGACAACAATACTCGATCTGATGTTCCAACCTGTAACTAATTAGGACTAAGTAGAGCTGAAGTTTACTCTGTCTTAAATGTCAATACTGCATTACACCAGGGCTGGTGAAATGAGAGCCATTTGCTTCCTTTCTACACTTTACAGTAGGTCAAGCAGTCTGACATTCTTGACCTGGACCCAGTTCATTGTAGTGTTTCCTGATCTTTGGAGATCTGCTGCCTAGATAACCATTCTTTATTAATATAGTTGATTATTGTAGTCAAGCATTTTTCACTTCTTCACTAACATACTATTTATATTAAAACCTTCCTCTACTGATTAAGATCATTTGGAAACTTAATCCTGTCCTCTGCAAAGTGCTTGCAGCTTTTCCCAAGTAGGTATCAACTGCAAATTTAATAAACATTTTTTCATTCCACTATCTGGAGAAAACCTTATCTCTTTCTAGAGAAAAACACTTGACAGAGTCCCATCCTTTTTATTTGACAGTGAACCACTGATAACTAATCTTTGAAATTATAATTCCAAGCCAGAGAAGAAAAAAACATTTCACATTTTCTTGGTTATTTTTTTTTTTCTGCAGCATTCACTTCAAGAACAAACATTCAACTGATGTCAATTAGCCTTGGTGGGAGGAATATTGTTTAGAAACTGTTTCTACAGTATTTTCCTCAAGATTAAGTTTTCCTACTTTTCTTTAGGAACATCTTTAACATTTTTATAAATCATAAAATATTACACTTATCACCTACCCTCTCTCCTCTAGACCTGTTATCTTGTCATAGAAGGAAATTAGATTGTTTTACATGATTGATTCTTGACAAATCCATTTGGCCCTTGTTTAACATCTTTTTATCTTCTGGGTGATTCCAAACAGATTATCTGCTCAAATGTCTTTCCAGGAATTAAATTTAGGCTGAGTGTTCTGTAATTTCTCTGGGTCTTTATGTGTTTTTAGGAAAGACAGACACAAAGGTTTCTTCCCTTCCCCTACAATTTACTTTATTTTTCATCCTTTAATTCTCAAAGCTCAGAAGGGAAGACTCTAAGATTTCTTAAGTATTCCATAGTGAATTAATTGTGCCAGACAATTTGAAAATATCTGACTCATCTAAGCAGACTCTAACGTGTTTTAATTATGCTAGTCTTTGAACACAGTCAGCCTTTTCTTAATGAATGCTGTGGAAGGGAAAAAAAATCCCATCGACGAAACCAGCATGTCTCTATTAGGTTTGCTTCTCTGTCAATTA